CAATTTTTGGTTTCTTTCCAGGTTTTAAAAGAGGAGCAGAGCAGCTAGCAACAGTTTTCTTCAATCTGGTAATCCAAAGAGTTAATATATATTAGTATGTATTAATTATCAGCTTAGAGAGAAACTAACTAGATGTAATCAGTAATAGACAGATATTTGCTTATGTTGAATTACCTTTTGCTTGGTTCAGGTTCATCTTCTCGCTCCTGCTTAATATTAGTTTCAGCATTATCATCTGAATCACTGGAATCCTTTTGTATTGGATCTGGTACACTAACTTTTCCTGTATAGAGTCTTTTGAAGAAGTGGAAGGAGCTGAATCAGCTGTAGCTCCAATTGGAGCAACCGAAGAGTCACTCCCATTTGCAGGGGCAATGACAATGAATGCCTGCTTCCCCTGTGCAATTTACTTTTTGAGGAGGATCATGATTGTGATGACTTCTATAAACAATTTCCATAACACGATTAGAATCATCAGAACATTCAATTTTCTTAGCACAGCACTCAGAGTACGTGCATCTATAATAACTCCGAGAGCCTTGAGGACTCTTAACTTGCTTTTGACCATACTTCCGCCAGTTGTAGCCGTCAGGGGAAGGTGTTTTTTGAATGGACACAACAGATAAAGTTTTTGGGTCAAATGAATTCTTTTTGTCTGCCTCTGATGTGTGAGAGTGTTTCTGTTATCTCCAGGTGACATTTTTTGTTCTGGAAGAGTAGGACTTGGAACGGATGAAATCGGCTGAGTAACAGAAGTTGGAGATGGTTCTGATGAACGTGGACCATTAGGTGGCTCTTGCTGATTCTGTGTCTGATCTGGAACAGCTTGATCTGCAATGATTCTGAATTCTTCTTGGTAGGACATGCCAACTTGATCCTGAAAAAATTAAATAAAAATGAAATGAGAATCAATTACATACTACAGAATGCAGGAAGCACCTAAATCAAAGTTCTTTAGTTCGACAGAGAAAAATTTAACATGTAAATTCCATGGTGCTCTAAGTAGGAAGAAAGGACAAAATCCTACTTGCTCCACTTATAATATGCATGCAGCCACTAAAGAAGTTCTGAATGTATGTAAATGCAGAAATTTCAATAGACAGTAATAATAACATGGCAACAGAAAATGCCATCAAAAGATAGCAGTTACACTAATTCATAATTAACATGTTGAATTGGCTTGCACATGTAGTTACATGTGGTAACCTCGAGTTTTGAGTTGCATGTTCCTATAGATGAGCATTCTCAGAGTACATTTAGCTTCTCATTCGACTTTCATAGGACAAATTTTTTGAAATACCAAAAAATTATACATGCAAGTATGGGGGTTCTCTACTATGAAGCATGTTGGAAAACTAAGAGCCAGCAAAGGTAGATAAATTGACTTTTGGCCACATTATCTGAATTATTTCAGCACGTGTTGATATTTTGCTGGATAAGGTAAATTACACTTTGTCCATCCGTCTTGCAAGGACACATTTCTTTCTTCAATTATTGCAAAATACACTTTCAAAATCAAAAGTCAAACTAAAGTAATTAACTGGTAACTTCATGTAATACGAAAGAAGTTAGAAATACAAGACTAAAATATCCTCTCAAATTTCAAGTTTTCACATATAAGGAATGCTAATGATGAAATCACAATTCCACATGTAGCTTCATATTATATGTCCAGCCAAACAGGAAAACAAAACCTACAGTCTGGTGCATTCAAAGACTAGTGTTGGGAATTGTCACCACTCTTAAGGGACTTGAAATAGAGCTTTTTTTTATCTCAATTCTTTGATTCTCTTTCAGAATTTCAAGTTATTTTCTTCCATTATGCGGTTTTAATACATAGGCTACAAATTCAAGCCTCAGATATGATAACTTCATGAATTCTACAAATGTCTTTAATATCTTGCTTTGCACCACTCCTCTTCTTATGCTTGTCATATATTTTTTTCCCAAGCTTCTACACTTAATTACCATAGCTGATGTGGATCTTAACTTCAGTGTCAATGAAAATCATGCAAAACCAAGAAAATCTTGTTATTTAGTTGAAGCTTGAATACAACAAGATCACTAATTTTAAAAAGACCTTCTAGCAAAGCTATGATCACTAGAACTCTAATTTCCAGGTCCTTAACTTTTTGTCTAGCTCAACTAGTAGAAGCAAAACTTCTTTTTTGGCAGATCTGATCTCGTAGCTAAGAAGATCAGATGAATTGAGGGCCTGAACAAATACTCAATTCCAAAAACCAAAGCCCTAAAAACTAAAAAAAGGTCGGGGCAGATCATTTGACAGCCAAGCTAGTACCAGAACCCAAATAATTCAGCTAGTACCAACAATAAGACAACGAGAATGACAATTAATCAAGGACAAATTATCCAAAATCAACGAGAATGACACAGGTGAAAACTCCAACAAGGACAGAAATTATCCAAAAAAATTTCACGAACATCCAATTAATCATGAAACATATTACTAGTAAATTTAAAATCAAAAGTAACTAAAACAAAGGTTTATTCTAACCTTCAATTCCTCGGCCGGCTCCAACCGTTGCATTTCATTGTCCACCGCCACCTCTGTTTTACAACTCACTAAACTTAATATTTTTTCCGCACAATTTCAAACCACTAACCTTACAACATGCAGACACTCATGTCACGCACATCACACGCTTAAAAACAGGAAACAGGAAATTAGCATTAAAGAATGACCGGAAGAAAAAAGGAAAAAGAAAAACTCTCACTCACACACACACACACACACACACACAATATACACAACCGCACAGAAACAAACGGTAGATTAGACAGGAAAAAAAAATGTAATGTTCGAGGAGAAAAAACGGAGGGAGAGTTAAGCACCGAATTTGCAGTGGGATCACTCGGGCGACGGTAGCTAGGGTTCGGGAGTGACGAAGCTCTGTTATTACTCATCTGAGCTACTACTACTGGAATTGAACTGTTGTCAACAGTTTTAGAATTCACTTGCTCATAACCATCACCACCACCACCTCGAGAATTTTCATCAAATTCTTTCTGTACTTTGAATTCTGAGCCGCTGCTTCATCTTCTCTTCGCAGCTCGGGCTTTTGCTGCTACTATTATTTCAGAATTGAAATTTTTGGCGTCCATGGCCCCTGAGTGCAGCAGCTGCAGCACACAGTTAGTGCGTGTAATATAGAGAGAGAAAGGAAAGGTGATATAATTTCTTTTTTGGAACGTTATTTTAATTTTTGCATTTAACCGCATAGTTTTGGTTTAGCGGTCGTGGTTAGCAATTCGGGTATAAACATGGGTTCTGATTAGTATTGTTTTGGGCGCGCAACCATTGTCGTACTAAGTGACATTATTGTCCTTTAAAACAAAGTAAAAATGTGTAATCAAGAAAAAATATTGCTAAATTTAGGAGACAATTAAAGTAAAAATAGAAAAGGGCAAATTCCAATAGTTGAAAATGAAAAGGAGCATAGATGGATGAAAATAACTAAGTTGGCTTAAAATTTTGGTCCTTAAAATTAATCTTAAAAAGTTTTAATAAAACTAAATTGTGCACGCAATATGTTTAGTAAACTGTAAGTCAATAAGACGCATTTAGATCTCTCAAAAGAATCTTTCTTACCTCTATTAAGAGATAGTCAAATTTTGTCTATTATACCTTTTTGTCGTGTTATCACTTATCACTAATTGGAACAAAATTATTTTGCAATATTCGAAAATTTATGACCAATAATAAATTATTACGAAAGTACACTACTAATTGCAGATATTAACGTTGTTTCAATTTCAATATATGAAGCCTCATGGATTCAATAGGATTTACTGATTACTCTAAAAGTTGCAACTGATTCAATTGAAACTTGAATTAGTAATATTGTCATTTTTTTTTAGGAGAGACTTTGCAGTAGAAATGTGCAATACAAAGGCATGAGGGTACAATAGTCATTCGAGAGGGAAGAAAGAGGATGAGTGGACCGGAGCGGCCAGAAATGAGAATAGTAACCGGGTGAAGGCCTAATATAAAATGAACCGGACAAAAGATCCGAGGAAGGGAATTAATGAGTGTGTTGTTGACTGTGTTGACTCAGGTGCTTTCTGTATTACTTATTATTTATACTTATGCCGGCATCTTCTAAACGGCGTTAGATTCTCCGTTAGGCGTTAGATTGGTGGGTGGCTCAATCAGGACTATCTATGACCGGCGCGTTGACGTTTTCGTTCTACTAGCACCTGAAAAATTCACAATTTCATCAAATTCGTCTCTTCACATTTTTTTCCTTTTTGTTTTTACAAACTAATTTCATTTTTTTCTAAATATGACTAATCTAAATTCTGAAATATATATCACATGAGTTTATATTATATCTTCCATAATTAAATTAATGATATTATAAACAAGTACTATATCCTATAATTACCGATCTTTTTATTATATTTTTGTGGAGTAAATAAAAATAGAAGAGCATGACTAACTTTGGTAATATTAGGTCTAAATGCATGATATATGATATGCATGATATATGATATGTGTTTCAAATTTATTTATTTTTACATGTCTTATGTGTCTACATTTGTTTGTGAAAAAAAAAATTGCACTGATTGATATAGGAAAAAGGGAGAATTGTAATTTTGGTCCCCAATCTATAGTGTATGTGCGGAATTATTTTCAATCTATTTCAAAAATTAATTTTGGTCCCCAATCTATTCAATTTTGCTCTAAAGTGGACAATTGACGGAATCTCTTCAATTTCAATCGAAACTAAATCACCTGAGATCACGTGCCGGCATCTAAAACCCCTTTTTCAATTTTTTAATTTCTAAAACACGTTTTTTTAATATTTTTAGTTTTCTCTTGCCTTTTGTCTTATTAAACAAAGACATGAAAGGGGTAATCTCACAATTCAAATTACTCCTCTTATTGGCTGCCGCCTTCAAATCCTCAAAACCCATAGCACGAGTAAGAAGCTCAGCTTAGCCTCCAAGTCCAAGTCTCGTTCTTGCCTCTATTAGTAATGGAGATAATCTGCAATCAGCGTCAGAGGTGGACCCAGTTCAACTCTCCTGCACAAACAACAGGAGCAGCAGCAATACTACTTCATAAGCAAGCAAGCAAGCAAGCAGCCGAGAAAGAAAAGTGGTTGATAACAATTGGAAATCAAAGGGATTATACGGACCAAATCATCAAAGGGATTATACTGGTAAGTTATTTTTTCCCTATTAGCCATTCTTCACCATTGAACTGGAATGAGCATTCAATTGAACCACTAATATATTATTGGTAGATTATGTTTACGGCCGGAATAGACATTTCATCGGTGACTATAGAATGGGTCTTTCTCTTTGCTCAACCATCCGAGGTACTAGAAAAAACTCGAGCTGAATTGGATGCTCAAGTAGGGACTGATCGATTGGTCGACAAATATGATCTATCCAATCTTCTTTATCTTCATAATATTCTTTTAGAAACACTTCGGTTGTACCCAACAACACTAATGCTAGTGCTACATGAGTCGTCCGATGACTGTAAAATTGAGGGATACAATATTCCGTGAGGCACAATTTTGCTAGTTAATGCATGGGGTTCACAGGGACCCAAACGTTTGGGATGATCCAACAAGCTTCAAGCCATAGAAATTCGAAGGCTTGCAGGTTCAGCCATCAAAGCTGCTTCCATTTGGGATGGGAAGGAGATCTTACCCTGGTTCTGGCCTAGCACACCGGGTGGTGGGTTTGGCCTTGGGATCTCTAATTCAGAGTTTTGATTGGAAAATAATTAGCGAGGAGGATATTGATTTGGCTGATGGGATAGGAGTGTCCATGCCAAAAGTTAAGCCACTAGAAAAAATGTGTTTTAGAAATTAAAAAAATTGAAAAAGAGATTTTAGGTGCCGACACGTGATCTCAACGTGACTTAGTTCCGATTGAAATTGAAAAAATTCTATCAATTGTCCACTTTAGCACAAAATTGAATAGATTGGGGATCCAGATTGATTTTCGAAATAGATTGGGGATAATTTCGCGCATACACTATAGATTGGGGATCAAAATTACAATTCTCCCTAGGAAAAAATAATTTAAAAGCATTCCAACAAACTATCATTTCAAGTAATCGGGGAAGGATTTTTAGAACTTTTCCTATTATCAGATCAACAATTTGAATCTTGGCCACCATTAAGACAATTGGAATGAAATTTGCTCTCTTTTTTGTATTTCTTGTATCTAAAATTAGTTTGTCATTTATAGAAAAGTCATGTAGAGTATTTTGAGGTGGAGAACCAAACTCTGTGGTTAATACTCATAAAAGGGTGCATTAACATGCTGGATAAACAAGAAGTCAAGCTAAGTTCTCCATCTCTACCGGCAAAAAGAGAAAACTCGCAAGGGAATTTTTTTTTCCATTTAAGCAGAAAATCTAAAATTTTAACTACAAATTGTCCATTTCTTCATTCTACAAACACAAAGGAGATGTCTAAAACGCGTCAGAAATCCCTCTTGGATCAGCTTGAAGAAATTGATTAATTAGTTCTAACTACTATCTTGAAAGTTTAAGCAGCAAAAATTTTGTTTTACTATTATTTTGCTATACTCGAGCTCGATTCGACCTATATGTAATTAGACTCGAGTTCGATCGAGCCTAAAAATCGCAACTTGAGACTTGACTCGAGAAAATTCTTTTAAGTTCGAGACTCGACTCGATAAGGTTTTGGTCAAACCTTATCAAGTCGAATCTAATCAAGGTTTTTGACTCGACTCGGAAAATGTATACTTATAAATTCAGTATAAATTATATCCATAATGGTCATTTTATAATTATAATATATATATTATTTAAATTATATATATTAATTAAATATATCCGGCTCGATGAGTAGCTCGTCGAGCCACAAGCCGCAAATTCTTGACTCGAACTTGACTCGAAATTATATTTGAGTAGCTCGAGACTCGGTTTGAACTCGATTTGACCGAGTTCAAGCCAAATCATTGACCGAGCTACTCGCGAGCTACTCAATACTGGCTCGACTCGCTTACATCCCTAGTCGTTCGTCATAAATTTTCGATACATGTTCAACAATTTAATGTTAATTAATAAAGGGATTCGTACAATGTAAGTAGGATGGTGATACGATGCTTTAGTCTCCGTTATTAAAAAAGACTCAGGTCAGTTGGTTCCAAAATAAACAGTATTGGGTCATATTCCATTAATGCACCAATTATTAACTTATTATCTCACAAATGGATTTAGTGTTAGCACTTTGGTTAAAGAAAAAATAATAGTTGTCTTGATACGTAGAACATTACATCACAACATCAAAGGATCACAAAAAAAAATCAAATTTCTTCTACAATATGTCTCGGGTCGGGTGTAATCACTTCGCATGTACTACATTTTTATTTTCAATGATTATACAACAAGTATATATATTTTGTTGGTTTGTCTAACGGGTGTATCGTTAAAATGTAATTCAGGTGTTATGTTCTTAAAAATATAATATTAATTAAAAAAAAGTAAATAAATATAAGAGAAAGTAGGTAAGATTAAATAGAGAAAGTACATAACTGCAAGAAAAGACAATAATTATTAATATATATATATATATATATATATATATATATATATATATTATATGTTAGGTAAATATTAGATATGTTAATGGGCGGCTTAGGAACCAGTTAGAAAAACCCATATTTTATATCAGCCCAATCTGGACTTTTTGGACCGCTTTGTCATCACGTTATTAAAATTTATTTCCTTTGATTAAGGAAGTTATTCATGTCCTTCTTTCTCTTTATTTATCAGTCTTCTGTCCTGATCTCTTTGAAGTGGTCGATAAAGCAATAATTTAACGTCGAATACTAGCACAAAACCATCACATTTCACGATTAATTATCATATTGGGAAACAAGTTAAGGAAATACAAACATAATCTTATACTAAAAATCTACTGTAAATCATTACTATGATTATATTGAAATATCAACATAATTATATAAAAATCAATGATAAACCAAAATACTACACAGTGATGTGTTTGGATATAGAGTTACAAATAAGTCGAGTTGAGTCCAAATTTTTGCCTAATTGAACCAAGTATCGATTTAATTTTACCAAACTCGAGTTCGATGAACTCTCAATGTAAAACTCGAGTTCGAATTCAATCTCAAATTCAAGTCAAGTTGAATTGAACTCAAATTCAATCTTAAAAAAATTGAAATAATTATTTTTATTTAAAAAAATAAAATAGTAAATTTTTTAATAAATAATAAAACATAGGGATACATATACGTAATTTTGTTATTAAGATAAAAAAAAAATATATATATATATATAATTGAGTTGGCTCACGAACTAACGAATTGAATATCTTTGAGTTTGAACTTAATTTGATCAACTTGAACTCGAGTTAAGTTTTGATTCGAACTACTCGTGATCAGCTTACGAGGACGAGTGGTTCAACTCGCATATAGCTCTATTTGGATATAAGTTTATTTGGAAAAAAAAATTTTGAAATAATAACGAAAGTAAGAATTTTCTAATCTTTTATAGTCTAAGTAGCACATAAGGTTGAGGTCATGAATGGTGCATGAGATGGTTCAGTTTTTTTTTTAATAGAAATGTTAGAAATATTATTGATATAAAAAACAAACTATATAACTTGATCAAAGACCCATATTGATCTTTACAAGAGTGTCCTTAGACGTCGAGGATTCAAGTATTCCTTATCTTGTACTAACTTAGCAGCATAAGCACTGATCCTTCTACTTATCATATTACATTGGCAGTCTATCAAGCTAAATTAGCATTTCATAAGTAAAGATCTTAGCATTTGAATGTCTTCCAGATGAGCAAAAAGTATTATGTCTTGTGCTTTGTTCGTCCTCAAACAACGTATCAACTGAGGTGATGAAACTTGCACTTTCATTTCTTCTTGCCAGAGCTTCTCCCTGGCCTTGCATACTGTTAGTTTGATCGCTGCAGCATGAGATGGTTCAGTTGGTCAAGCAAAATCTTCGTGAAATGCGTGCTATTTGTTGGAACTTTTCCCGGCAGGGAATGGCGCAGTCTGCGGGAAGTGACCCGGTCTACATCGTTCATCCATCTTTGGGTTAATTCCTTATAACCCCTTGTACTTTTTCCTGTACCCAGTTGGCCCTATTGTTTTGAATTGCATCATTGTTCTCATCATAATGATCATGTCGGGGGCCTGCAAGTTCTGAACAATGGTCAATGGATACCCGTGATACCTGATGACGAAAAATTAGTCGTGAACATAGGTGATATTCTTCAGGTAAGTCACCAATTCTTGCACTTGGATGGATAACTTGTATGAATTTCTTGTGGATTACAACAATTATTATCTAGTACTACAACTTTGCTGTTATGAGTACTTCTCACAAAATCGCATTCATGTATATTTTATCCCACACCCCCAAGTTTTGCTTGTCAGTTCTCTGATTGATTGTCTGGTGGGCTTGTGTGAAGGTACTGAGCAATAATAGACTCAAGAGTGCAACTCATCGGGTGTACAGAACAGAAGGTACAGAACGCGACTCGTTTGCATTTTTCTACAGCCTGAAGCCGGACAAATGGGTGGAACCACTGCCACAATTCACTACAGAGGTTGGAGAGCCACCCAAATACAGAGGGTTTCTCTATGATGATTACATGCAACTCCGACAAAGGGATTACACCGACAATCAACCTGACAAATATGAAGACATTGCCCGCATTACCTACTATGCAATCAACACCTAGGCCACAGCTAGCTGGTTGGTCCGGTCCAGTCCAGTCTTTGTATTTCTGCGTATCACCCAACTCATATCTCCTCTTTTCTCTTTTCTCGCATCACCCAATTTGTGCTTGTGAAATAAAACATGGGTGATGAAATAAAACAATGGGTGATCTATCAGGCGTCGTCGTGGTCGTCGTCGATTGAGTACTTTTATTAACTAATAATAATAATGTTTTATAGCAGAGGAGGGACATGGAATTGAGTACTAATTGTTACACTTAGCATTTAATTGCAGACACCCTCTGTTCTAAGCTTGAGCAAAAGGTCAAAATAGTCAGTCTCTAAACTATTTATCAGAAGCTATAATAGTCCCCAAAAATGAATTGAATTGGGGCTAATTTTAGTTCCTTTAACTATATATATATATGTATGTATATGGCCAAAATTCCTTCTTTTTTTTTTTTTTATCAACACAGAGTGTTCCGTCAATTCTTATGAATCCGACTAATCTCCTGTGCGATCCGGGAGAGGAAGCCCCGCTTCGCACCGAGGACGTATATGGCCAAAACTTCGCTGACACATTTTTTGATGTTTTCCCCCACAATTACCGCACCATGACGGACTTTTAGGTAAAACATCACTTTCACCCGTTAGAGACATTGGACGTATCATTGGACCACGAAAGCAACATGACGTGGACCACAAATACTAGTAATTCATATTTAATTCAACTTTGACCCACAACCAAAGCCCACTACTGAATAGTGAATATGCACCAAACGCCATATCATAATTTATTATTGATGTTTTTTTTTTCTTTTCTTTTTCCAATGCGTACTTATTTTTCATCTCCTTCGATCAAGCTGTTGATGAATGAGCGCATTATGTGCCACGCATCAAACCAATTTGGCTGAGAGAGTCTTTTTTTTTTTTTAATACATATTTTAGTCACAGCAGTTACAATTGAACAACAATGCGCAAGTAATAAATTTAAAAAAAAAAGAATTGGAAGACGAGAACTTTAATCTAATATATTATTATTATTCTAACTACTACTACTACACAAATTCTTGTATAAGTTGTGGTTGTATCTAAATTTCAAATTGTTATGGTACCAATATGAAGTGCTGTTATTGTAAAAACACGGTTTCGTTTGGATTAATTATTTTTTGGGGTATTTTTGAAAAATTTTACTGTAATATTGTATATAAAAAATTTCTACTATAAATTTTTTTTTGAAATATTTGATATATTATACGAATGAGATTTTTTTTGAATTATTATGTATTACTGTAGCATTGTATTTAAAAATTTTATTTTTAAAAAAATGACCAATCCACACAGAGTATTCTTTAATGTTTGTTTTTCTTGTATTTCCTTCTAATATCAAAATGGAACTTTCCAGTAATGAAAGGTAACACGTCTCACATTTGATATCAATTAAATGCGGATTGATGATGTAACTACAACCATTATGGACAGGCTGAGAGCTGTCTCTTGCAATAATTGATTGCTGATTGAACGATTTTTCCCCTTCTTCTTTTTTTTTTTCGGGCAGAAATTGAAACCGTTGGTAACTTCATTTTTGTTACTAGCCGGGCTCGACAATAATCCCTGATAGCACAAATAAAAAAACTCATCTAAAGCGTTTAGTGATTTTCTTTTTTGTTGTCTTTTTTTCAAGGCAAACTGAAGAACCTTACAAGGGAAATAAAGGAAAGGAGAGGGTCTAAAAATGAAACCTAAGGCCTCATAGTTATCCTGTTTTTTAAGAAAAAAGTTTTCTAATAGAGAGGGGAAAAGGAGAGCTAAACTCAAGATTTTTAACTCGAGAATCTCAATAGATTTATAATTCTGGAATCTCAATTTTAATCACTAGATGACATTTGACCTATATCACCACTTACTAGGTTAAATCGTAGTAGCAATCGTTAGAGACTTTAAATATGCTATTTTCTAGCGAAATTGTTTAAAGCGAAATTGAGTGTGAAAAAAAAATTTTGCACCTCTCTCTTGTAATATTTTGTATGCTATCCTATTTCTTGAGTTGGTAGCGAATTTCATTAAGTAAAGGATGACATAAAGATACACCTGTAATAACTTTTTTTTTGTTTGTTCGTATAAAATAAGCCAATAGCTTTGACGAGAACAACGAAGCACAAATTAGTTTGTAATTAGATGTTTCATCTGTAATTGAGAGGTTACGTGTTTGAAAAAAGTGGGGAATAAGTATTTATTTTCTTCAATAAAAAAGGTTAAAAAACCGACCAAAAAAGAGACTGGTTTCAACTTAAAAAAAGAAAAAAATATAATAAGAAAATAAAGCCCACTTGCTAGATTTATAAGTCTCTTATAAGATGTAAGAGACTCATAAATCTGTATTTGCTTTTAAATCCTTGCTCTCGTTACGTGGTCATGCAAAAGCCCCAAAAAAAAAAAAAACGGAGGCAACGTGCAAATTGCAAAGAAATTGTGTGGGGGTAATGATGGCTACAACTCACTGAAAGAGGTCAAGAACGAGAACTAATTGTATCCGGTAGTTAAAGTACTGATGGGAATACCGCCCCCCGGATGTTGTTGCAATTTTATGCAACTCCACTTTCCAACCTGTTTAAGAATGACAAAATAACATAACATTTATTACAGTATTATATGGGCCAGGGCCACTAATAAGTGTCAAAGACAAGATGGAACACACTCAATTTATTGTGATTTGTCTTTAGCCAACACCCGGTTCTAACTAGTCAGATGTTAGAACCCAATCAATATAAGGGAATTTCAATTAGGATACTCTGTAACCCAAAAATAAATAAATCTTACGTACATATTATGATAGTATATATATTATTATCATCGTTAGATCTATGATATATGTGTAAAAGTTAAATTTTAAATTTAAAAAATATATATATACAAATGTGTATATTTATCATTTGTTTAATGCTGACAGTGTATATACTGTCAATACAGAAAAAAATTAAATAAAAAAAAAAAAAGAAAAAGAAAAGGACATTCTGTCACGAACCACGGGCTAATATGGACCACGGATCATTTTATATCAATGTGAATTCCGCATATATTATTGTATGAAACGTTCGAGAGTTTATAATATACTCCCTCCGTTCCTTATTAGATGTCCTAATCCATTGTTTCTTTTTATCTGTCATTTTATGATATCAAGAAAGCATTTATGAACTTTTTTCCAAATTTACCCTTGCTTAGCCTTTCAACTTTCTTGAATTGGAACTCTAAATAATTAAATGCAGTATTTGTAGCATTAACAATAAAAGTAGTTGAAGAGATGAAGAGAGATAAAGGGTAATTTTGAGAAGTAAAGTTAAACTTTTGTTGACTTTTAGAAAATAACCAACTTTTTTAATCTAAGAGAATTAGTTATTCAGGCCATCTAATAAGGAACGGAGGGAGTATTAGATTAGAAGAAGAAGTCTTGACCTTTCTCCTATCCTGCATGGCATGTTGAGTTGATTGCTGGTTGAGTCACCGCAGTGCTTGACTTTTCTTCTATCTTCATGTATAAAAGCCGTTGAAACTTGGACCTTCTTCATTGACCATAGGCTCTAAGATTTAAGTAGCGTGTGGGAAAGTGAAGGAAAGTTGGTTGCTTTTTAACTTTCATGTACCAAGAAAGTCGAAACATTTTCTTGCACTTTCTTGCATCTTGAATCCTGCAAAATTTACAGGATGAATTTTGAAGGAATATAGGTTAAGTTAGATACAAAATTTCAACAACTGCTACTAACTATCACTAACATCCCATTTTTTCCTCAAAATTTTTCTTGCTAACCAAACATATAATCTGAAAAATAATTTTCATTTTTCTTCATCCCACACAACTTTCCCTCTACTCACTCAAACAGATTTGATTTGGTCCTCTAAATGCAGGAGTTACCCAACCCAATAAATGCCTACACTGAACTCCATCAGGATTTTTGACCAAAAACAAAAGAACTCCATCAGGATCGTGCTCAACCTCGATGGGCTTGTAAGATGGGAAGGTCTGTTTAGCCGATGAATCTTGGGCCTTAGTCTGCAATTCTAGCTTGCTGGGCTGGAAAATGCTGATGAACGTTGCACTCGTTGAGTGAAGATGTCTCGGTTATTAATCAGATCCAAATTCTCCATTACATTGATATATTTTCTGTATATATTTCTCGTAGCATAGCAATGAATTAAAATGCTACGTGTTGAATTATAGGTGTACTCCAATTGTAGACTTTTAAAAATTGTTTTTGATAAACAAAAATAATTATTTCATGGATTTGAAAAGTTGTCAGCAAATGACTGCAACTGCAACTGCAAGTTTCAGAGATTCTTTATTTATATTTGTCTACAATTTGGAATCTAGTGGGTTCATTCATTATTGAGCCCCACAATTTGTCTTCTTCTTATAAACAATGCATTTACCGAATGCGTTCCTTAAGGAAAAATGTCTAGAGAAATGAATAATAAATAAAAAAAGCGTAATCACACAACGCATCTTTTGAGGAAATTCACTACGGTACCATTTGAAATATCCAAACCACCACTTAAATTTAATGGATTCAGATTATAATATGTTCAAACGTGCTTAATAACCAAAATTTGAATACTTGAATTAATTAAGTGACACTGAATTTTCTAAACAAAACTTGCTCCAAAAAATAAGTGATAAACAATTTACTTATCACTGAATGTGATATATACCTAAATAAATTAGATTCAATACTTAATAATTTAATGGATTCATATTTCAAATTTCAGATTTTCATTCTTTGATAAGAGATTTAAAAAACTTCTATATATATATATATAAGCGGAGACTCAATGCATGCCAAGTGATAACTAATCACAATTTAAATTTCAATATTTGATTTCACATACATGACATGCATCTAATTTTATGTGCGTGTATGTTGTCGATGCATATAAAATTTATTCTTTAATTCAATTCTTCAAAATTCCAAATCGAAGAGCAAAATGTTTTGTCAACGATCTAGATTCTTTGTTAGTTGGACTGGATGGTTGACATTGCCTCTATAGTGACAAAAGACAGCTGTAGATTTTAAAAATTCAAAGGAGGATACAGATATACTTCAGCCTTCACGAGCACATATGAATTCTTTTGACAGAGAATTCAGACGTGCCACTTGCCAGTGCTTGACAATCTAAAGAAAAAGAAAAGGCCAAAGGCCTGCCCCTTACTAATAATAATGTCGACATGGTTATTATACTTTTTATTTTTTCTTTAGTCTTTTATCAACAATTGCAAATTGACTTTTGTTGAATTTGATAAACCTAATCCCAGAAGAACCCTCAAAAGCCGGCAATTCTTGAGGGCCTCCTAGGGACTTATCTACCCAACTAACCCAACCCCCAACCCCGATGTGGGATAAACTAC